AGATACATTACAGTCTATGAATGATCTGCTCACATTCATAAAGAATATGGTGTGAAATCTGCTCAAATAGTCTATAGATTGTCATCCTATTTCATGAAATTTTTCATTACACATTTGGGTCATCAATTTCAAAAAGGAATCAATCTTAACTTATATAGATAATCATTAGCTCTCACTTTAACTTATAATAGATCTTTATTATAAAATACATTTTTTACACATTGTGATAAATGATGTTGTGAGATGTGGATGTGTCACACAATTTCGTGGATAAGTTAAAGTTAGATATTAACAACACTAAATGCATGCCCAGTGGCCTACAGGTTGGGCGTTCGCGCGCGAGATCAATAGTTCTGGGTCCGAATCTCGCGAAGCAGGATCGCGGATGCGCAATGCTGAGAAGTCCCACAATAGGATGAAACGGAAGCCCAGTGCTTCCAAGTTTTCCATAGTGTTCTAGCTTCGACTGACTCATGATATTAACTATTGAAAATCATATTTCTTTAGGTATTTCAATGAAATCACTAGACTTAATAAACGTGAACAACAAATTAACTTTATTTTTAAAATGACGATTGAATGATATTTTGAAAAACAATTATCAATTCAGAAAGGAACATCTTTGAATGATACTAATGTTTTTTTCCATTTGAATAGTGGATAAAACAAACAATAAAGATTTATTCATTGAACTGTTCCTTTCTTAATGATATGTCACTCAAGTTATATCGTTAGAGGTATAGACAGTGTTTCTTTTTATACAATCGACAAAAAATCATTATGGAACCAGGAAACAACAGAAACTCAACAACAATTATTACAGAAAAAGTAAGAGAAGGATCTACGTTAATTCCAATATATACATATATACATACATACATATTTACTTCCTTCCTTCCTCACTTCCTTCCTTCCTTCCTTCCTTCCTTCCTTCCCTCCTTACTTACTTACTTACTTACTTACTTACTTACTTACTTACTTACTTACTTACTTACTTACTTACTTACTTACTTACTTACTTACTTACTTACTTACTTACTTACTTACTTACTTACTTACTTACTTACTTACTTACTTACTTACTTACTTACTTACTTACTTACTTACTTACTTACTTACTTACTTACTTACTTACTTACTTACTTACTTACTTACTTACTACTTACTTACTTACTTACTTACTTACTTACTTACTTACTTACTTACTTACTTACTTACTTACTTACTTACTTACTTACTTACTTACTTACTTACTTACTTACTTACTTACTTACTTACTTACTTACTTACTTACTTACTTACTTACTTACTTACTTACTTACTTACTTACTTACTTACTTACTTACTTACTTACTTACTTACTTACTTACTTACTTACTTACTTACTTACTTACTTACTTACTTACTTACTTACTTACTTACTTACTTACTTACTTACTTACTTACTTACTTACTTACTTACTTACTTACTTACTTACTTACTTACTTACTTACTTACTTACTTACTTACTTACTTACTTACTTACTTACTTACTTACTTACTTACTTACTTACTTACTTACTTACTTACTTACTTACTTACTTACTTACTTACTTACTTACTTACTTACTTACTTACTTACTTACTTACTTACTTACTTACTTACTTACTTACTTACTTACTTACTTACTTACTTACTTACTTACTTACTTACTTACTTACTTACTTACTTACTTACTTACTTACTTACTTACTTACTTACTTACTTACTTACACCTGTTACCTCCAATGGAGCATAAACTGCCGACCAGTGTTGTCTAACCTATTCTGTCCTAGGCCATCCTTTATAGTTCTATTCAATTGTTATTCATTTTTTTCATATACACATACTTATGTGAAGGGATTTTGTGGAGGTTTTAGAAATTTCACGGATTGAAATCACGAGTCAATTGAAGCTAGACCACCATGGAAAACCTGGAAGCACTGGACGGCCGTTTCATCCTAGTATGGGACTCCTCAGCAGTGCGCATTCACATACTTATCTGTTAACTAAGTTTGCTATGTCATTTTGTTTGGATCATAACTAATGAGTTTTTCATGTGATAATACATTATTTTCAATTCCTTTCAAATCAACCGCGATAAGGTGCACTTAGGAAAAGAGACACTTAAAACTTGTTTATTAAGGTAATTGTAATGTCATTGGTATAAATGATAAATTATTACATTGTAAATATCAGATGATTGAAGTTAGATGAGAGGAAATACTGAAATGAATTCTTTGTTTGCACTGATTGATCATTATTTTGTGACTAAAGTTATATTTGCATTCATTTATTTGATAAGCGGAATGGTTTTTGGAAAGAACAGCTAACTTCTAGACACCTATTTGGTCAGTGATCCAAATAAGGAATTTATTCCATAAAAACTCGCACGAAACTCATGGTAATGATCAGGTGTTAGGATTAAAATTTGGTAATTACGTTATAATTTATGGTCATTGTTAGGCGCACACGTTAGGAGGATAAGTTAATGGTTAAGAGGAAGAACGATAAATATCTATGGCTTCAAGCAACTAACCTAGTGGGAATATAGGACAACTTCGGGGGTTGACGGATACGTTTTAAAGAAGCAAGTATATATGTAGGTAAAGGGAACAGACATCTAAGGAATTCCCTCAGAATCGGTCGTTTCTTCATTTCTTGCCGGATCCTTTAATCTTTTGAAAGCATTTAAGCTACGTCAGTGAATTTATAAAACACCTTTCTCATTTGTTTGTGTTAACCATATTAACAGTTTTAAGGATCCAAGTAAATAAATGCAGGCATGTTGTACTCAGCTTTCAATAAAGTACAACCTATCCGTTTTCAAGCCTCCCACCTCGTGTGAAAATGTTCAAGCTGAAATCCTAACTCTAATCAACTTGTAAAAGCATATTTTCTACAGGAACTCACTTAAAAACTGGAATTTAATCATTTCGATTTCCATACCATGATTAACATTTTAGTCCACTGAACCAGATCCCCGTCCCTAACTTTTGTCTCTATACGATGCTGAATAATGATTATCCAGTTCCATAAACTAACGTCTATTTTGCACTGTGGCGTTACTACACTTACGCATGATGTTGTTACCAAATCAATAAATTATTAAATTACTGGTTAAAATATTGAATTGTTAATTTAGCTACCATTTTTGTTTAATATTTTATACTACTTAATATTACTCAGTAACCTGATTTGTTTAAACAGTTTCATTCCTGTACAAGTGGGATTCCACAGTTTCTGTCTTACTGGTTTATTTTTATATTTGTGATGGAAAATTTTTGCTTTTATCCTCCTTAATTTTTCTGCTTTCGCAACCTTTTGTATTTGTCCATTCCTCTAAAAGTCTATATACTACGTTTGACTTCAATTACTTGTTGTCTATTTTTGGCCACATTACCATTTGAGGTTTGAAACCATTATTGTAATCGTTGTCTTTCGCATTATTTACCGGGTTTATGCGTATAACTCAGTTATCGAATCAGAATCATGCGAATAAATTTTATACAAATGATTTATATCCTGGATAACGTGGGCTTGTTCAAGGATTTATCTATCAAAACAAGAATTCTCTAAATAAACTGTATCTAAAATGGAAACAAAAGGTTACTAAAATGAAATATACTCAAATCAAAATACATTTCAATTCATTCACTGAATAAGACTTTCACTTCATAGAAATTAAATATCAACTTAATCATATTGGGTGTATAAGTGAAGTCAGCGACAAGAATGGCTTAAGGCGTATCACTATAAAACAGCCTTAGATTTTGCATTTTCTTTGAGCAGATAATAAACGCTTAAGCATAGAATAACATAGTGCATAATCATGAACTTTATGTATCAGTGAGATGTGCAAACTGAAAAGTATCCATATTTATAATTCGTTAATCCCTTAGTATCTGGAAACTTCCATGGATACAACTATTAAATCCCATATTTTAGATACAAAACATCGATTTAATTTCTAACAGTATACAGTCAGTCAACAAGTCATGTTGTTTGATGTCTTTTTTTGTAAATAATACAGCTGTTGATTTGATGGATAAGCACTAAGTTCATATCATTTATTCTAGAAAACTGATCAGTCAAACAGTTAGTCAAGGTTGAACTACAATTGTCTAAAAATAATCGATTGATAGATCAACATTGAGTGACTGATCATCTCTTACATGCTTCAAATGACGATATGGATTGAAAAGAAGGCAAATGATTGACTTACTCATAAGTAGCATATATCTGCTAAATTTGAAATATATATATTTTTTCTAAAGTCAATAAATGAACAAGAACGCATATGTCTAATTATAGTCAAATAAGACTTAATCTACTGTAATTACGCTTGGAAATGGTATCGACATTAGCCTGTTAATTTTATAACTGTTTAGATTAAGAAACGTTTAATATTTACGAACCAACATTGTGTCAGACAGGAAGACAAAACTAACCACTTGTTTTCATTTAAACTGAATAACTGATAAGCTATAAACATAATTAGATGTTGTTTTTTAAAAAATAAATTCATATTGAGACACAACCCATTCCAACAGTTTTATCAAAAATAGTAATGCTACTTATTATTTTTAAGTAGTTACGAATATACAACAAAATTTCAGAATGAAAATCCCAAGTTATTGTAGTTTATCAATATGTATATATCTTTTTCATTTTTAGCTTTTGAATGACGCAATAAACTTTCCTTAGTACTCGATTATGATTATTATTCAATTATGTATATTGGTAATCTATTTTAAGCATGAATCTCTCAATCTAATCTAAATATAGACTGGTTTATTCATTGAAAATATAAATTTAGACTATTTGCCAACAATCCATTTATATAAAACTGTTAAGAAAGTATTTGAATCAACTTCAACTTTTTCGAATGAATGTCTCCTTTGATCATTAAGCATCACTGTGTACATGACAAGATTTCTAATGCTTACTTATCTATTATGTCTTTATTTTATTGATACAATGAAATTAATTAGAAAGTATATCACAACCAATTCAAGAAAAGTTATATTTCCTAATAGAACTATTAATGATAATGATGCAAAGAATATTGTTGAAACATCATTAAATAATGAACAAGTTCATAATAAAACTGATTGGCTTATATATAATGAAAGTAATATAGGTTTAGTGGATACAATACCACATATATTGATTAGTTATAGTCATGAAGAGAAAGATATGGCAATGTATTTAAGTGAACAACTAGAAAATAAAGGTTACAAGGTAAAGTTATTTGTTATTTATTTGAAGTGATATGAGATAAGGCTTGTTTCGTTTGTTTTTTTTTCTTCGTTTATTTACTATTTTTTTATCTAGTAAACTCACTAGTTTAAAGATATAGGATCAATGGTAAACATAGTTCATTTTGTTTTTATTAAATCAATGTTCAGAATAGGATTTATAATGGTCTAAATGGTCCCGTTGAAGTCAGAAGTTCATTGTGTATTGAATCTTTTTATGAACTGAAAGGTATTGCGTTGGAGTTTCGGAGCAAACATCATCTCTAAGTTGCAGGTATATCTAATTGATGAGAGCCAAATAGAAATGTCTTAGACATTACTACTATCTACATTCCATCTATTATATGATAATTGTAATCAGTTACTATTTAAAGTAAAACACATTGGATTCGATTCCTATTGTGATTATCAACAATGAGGTGTAGAAGTATCTAATTGACGACTGAAAAATAGACCAAAACACATATCCTGAACTCCACTGATAGTCATGATCTAATTGTTTTAAAACAAATGACACAAATATCATTTAGATTTAAATGTTTTTGGGTGATCTCTTATATGTAGTTGTAAATGGGCAAATACTTCATAATAAAACAAATAATCGTTTTTAATACTACATGATTGTCACCATTTGTTGATGCAACTCAAAAATTTGTTTTATTCAGTAATTTTATAAGAATGAGTATCAGAATTACTAAAGAATCAATAAGATTTGAGAATCGTTTTCTATGACAAGCTTTATGAAAATAAACAATATTAGTAATGCAAATATAAGATATTCACTTGGTATTGTTTTCTTGTATCACTCCATTGCATAAGCAGGTGGCTATCATAACTCAGTAGCTAAGTGGATAACGTGATGGCGTTTCAAGCGAGCGGTACTGGGTTCGAGTCCCAGAGTGAACGTCAAATCGGAGTTGCAGTCTCATCCAGCTGACGAGTTTCAAATAGGACGAAACACGCTTCCTGGATTCTACTCCAAGCCACTCCTTGTCTTTGCTTGAAAATATAGATAGTTATAATATTTAAGATATCTAAAATAATAAATTCTAGGGTAACAGCAATGTAGTTTAACAAGTTCAAATTAACTATTCTAGAAATATTAGCTATGTTCCGACATAATAATCAATTGTAGTAACTCCCTATACTGTTATTCTATCATATTGTGGTGAAATAGTATTCCGCCATATTAAAGAATTGTGGATACATAGTGAATCTATTGTAAAGAAACTGTATAAAATAAGACTAAGTTAAAGTTTTCAGTCTAGTGAAATACATTTCAATAGAAATTATATTATCAGAAAGGGTTTTGTGGAGATTTTAGAAATTTCACAGATAGAAATCATGAGTCAATTTATGCTAAACCACCATGTAAGGCCCTGGGTTCGAATCTCGAGGGGCGCGGGATCGTAGATTCGTGCTACTGAGGAGTCCCACACTAGGACGAAACGGCCGTCCAGTGCTTCCAGGTTTTCCAAATTATATTACCTTAAATTTAAAACTACTGAATATAGATTAGATTATATGTTAAATTATTCAGCTATTAACCGTTAGATTATATTATTCACTTCCGAAACATTTGATTATATGGACAGCTATTATCATTAGCCCTCAGTACATCTCCTCTAACTGAATACCTAAATCGATTCCCTTGTAGATTAATTATGGTCGGTGATATGATCTATCACGTTCTTAGAAATTTATTTAAGGTCATTCTTTCTATTTCATTGTACTTCGTACATAATAATACTAACTAAAAATGGGGCTGAATTATTGATGTTAATGAGTAGATTAACAGTACAAATTATAAATGTATTTTTACACTGAATTAAACACATATTCATTCTGTATTAATTTCAACAATGCTTCAACTGATATTCATAAGCAAGGAATATTAAATGTAGGAGTTTAATGTTACTTGATAAGAGGTAATCAACAACTAAACCTTAAACAAGGTTGACACTTGTCAGGAATGTTACTAGAATCATCCAGTCTGATACATTATCATTAAGCTACTTGTGACTCAAGTGTCTTATTTAAGTGAAATAACCACTGACTATATGATAAACGAAAAGTTCAGATTATAGTGAGCATTGTTTTATCAAAGAAAATTAATGGTACCATTGAAACAGAATAGAAATGTAAATGTAAACTACATTTAAATAGATATCAATTCAAATGGTGGAGAAGATTTGTAGCTCAGGTGGATGATTTTGATGAAGTTTTGTTCTCTGAACTATACGAAGTTTGTGCTGATAATGTCGTTCAGAAGAATGATGAAAGCTCCACAACGAAACCATCTAGCTCAGAGAACAAAACTCCATCGAAATATCTATTCAAAATTAGATGATTAAATTTGTATTTGTTGCTACTAATGGACAAATTTAAATGTTTACTAAGCTTGCTTTAGTTTAACGTGATCACTTTTAATCAAAATGCAAAAGTTTCAATCAACATAAAAGCATTTACTTCTTAAATTTTCTTTTAATTAGTCAAGAAAAGACGTTTGGTAAACTGATGATCCAATATGTTTCATTCATTCGTTTCCGTTTTCTGTTATTTAGACGAATAGATAGAGATCATGAACTGATGAATTAAAGCTAGACCACCATTGAAAAAACCTGGAAGCACTGCATGGCCGTTCCATTCTAGTATGAAACTCCTCAACAGTGTGTATCCATGATTCCGCATCTTGTACTGACAAAGAGATAGAATTAAAATTTACATTTGCAACGTCGTAAAAGCTAATAATTCTGATGTTTATTATGCACAAGTGCCAAGATTCCAGTGATTTATCTGAAATTAGGTACACCAATCGGTAGAACAACATAAACACTAATAATGTACTGTAATGTAGCTAATCTATTTTTATTTTAAATAATGTAAACAGATTTTACTGAAGAGTCACACATCTGTAATGATTGTTTTTTACATATGTATATGTATATAAACATTTAGGTATGGATTGACTATAAAGATATGATGTATGAAACTGATGTAATGGAGGGTATGGCAAAAGCTGTAGAAAATTCATATGTTGTTTGTATTCTCTACTCTAAATCATATAAAGAAAGTCTTCACACAAAGTGTGGTAAGTTGAATAAGTTTTCATTTTTATTATCAGTAGAGGTTCTGTGGAGATGTTAAAAATTTCACTAGTCGAATTCATGAGTCAATTGAAGCTAGACCATCATGGAAAACGTAGAAGCACTGAATGGACGTTTCATCCTAGTGTAAGACTAGAATCTGTAGTGAGTTAGTAACTCACTGAAGACAATGATTTACGTTGGCTCAAATTCATGTATTGGTTGAAGTTTGACATTAACAGAATTGGATGCCAACTCTGTGGTCTACAAGTTAGGCGTTCGCACACGATACTGTCAGGTCCTTGGTTAAAATCTCGCAAGACGCGGGATCTTGGATGCACACTGTTAAACAGTCCCATACTACGATGAAACGACCACCCAGTGCTTCCAGGTTTTTCATGGTAATCTAGCTTTAATTGACTCATAAATTCAACTGTAAAATTTCCACTTGACCAAAAAAGCACTTTTTGGGACAAAATATTTTTGATTTCATATACTAACTTTCTTTATCTTCTTCTTATTGAAACGGCTTGGAAACTCATTTTCAAGTTACGTTTTATTTCTTTTTGGAAAAAATGAAGTACTTTCTCAATATATTCAATACTACAGGTCTGATTTAGACATTTAAGTGATCCTACCTGAAGGAATGACTCGAAAGTTGATTTTAAGATGGTTTATAGAATTCGCCTGAAATTCAACAAGATTTCCTCATTATTAACTCTTTAAAACAGGTAAAATATTTAATGAATCATTGAATTTTACTGAATCAGAACATAGAATTAGACACTTATTGGACACGTATTAGAAACAGTTTACGGATAGATAACTATTCATTTCATATAATCGTATAATATGGAATGTATATTTGTTGCATGGTCTATATACTACGATATTTCCTAGTACAAATATAACTTACAATAATTAAGAGTGTATATTTGAAAGGTAAGCCCATTGAATAGGTCATGATCGTTATTCTTTCGTAGATATCATTGTGTTCAAATGAACATCTATTCTTAGGAATTGATCACATTAGAATATAATTCATATGAAATTAGATAAGTTTATCAGACAGTGTACTATAAATCATAAAAATTGTAAGTTCCATTTGATTTTCCCATACCATTCTTACTTATCATATATTGACTATTAAGATATGTTTTTTCGACATTGTGAATAATATAAATTAGATGGGTTTTGTGGATATTATAGTAATTTCAATGATTAAGATCATGAGTCAGTTGAAGCTAGACCATCATTGAGATCCTGGAAGCACTGGACGACCGTTTCGTTCTATTGTGGAACTCCTCATTAGTGCGCACCCACGACCTCGCACCCTGCGAGAACCTACTGGTTTTGAGCGCGAGCACTTAACCACCAGACCACTGAGCCGGCATCCAACGGTGTTAATGTCTAATTTCAACTAATCCACGAAATTGAGCGACACATCCACCATTGTCTTCAGTGAGTTACTATCTCACAACAGACCTATTTGAACTCCACTGGTCACTACTTCTCACTAGAACTAAGTATATCTTGGAGTTCTGACACAAATTAAAAGTTGTTAGTAAGCTCAATGTTCTGTTAGGAATTACTGTGTCGATTATCGAAATCTCATATAAACGCAGCTCTCATCGGTTTAATTTCTTTCTAATATACATTGGTTAACTTAAACCTGTCTTTTATGAAATCTTACTTTCATTTATAAAATAAAATATTCAAATTGGTATTTGAAGAATAGGCCAAAACCGTCGAATTGACGAAAAGGTTTGTGATTTCCAAATGTTGATATTTAGAATTCCATTGTTTAGTCACTAACACTCTTTGGTGTTTGAAGGTAAATACTCGGGATTTGAATTATGATATAGACATTAACAATTAGATAAAGGCATATCTATCTGTTAAATCTTAAATAGAAAGAAACACACATCTTGGGCACATGCCAAAGTCACAAGATATTTGCATTTTCATTGTGAAGGAATATTTATTGTTTATTCATGGGGTTACATATTTATTTTTGTCCCTTGCATGCTTTCAGTGAATTGAGGATGTAGAAATGTAATGAACGAGAACACAGCTGAGAAACCATACTCTAATACTTAACTTTCAAAATTTTCATTAATTGTCTCATACTTTATTGTTCTTGCATTTCCATACCAATTACTTTCTATTCCCATTCTTCCCTTCTTGATCTCAATTCTCTGCTGCCAGACATTATATTTTTGACTCACGTTTTATACTACTTATATCAATATAAGTAGCAGCACAGCAAAATTTCATATTTATAAACATATTTTATTGTATTTTTTAACTAATATTCGTTATTTAAAAAGAACAACCTATTTTTATTTTGATTCCTGAAGCTCAATATGCTTATCATGAAAAAAAGCCAATATTATTTCTACGTGCACAAAGAGGTTATGTACCAGATGGATGGTTAGGTTTTATGATGGGAACACGATTGTATATTGATATTTCTGGAAAATATCCTTTTGAAGACAAATTTATTGAATTGTGTAAAAGAATAGACGTATATAAAAAGCAATCCATTGATCAACTAAATAATCATTGTCAAAATAAACCAATAGAAGTGGTATGTTTCATTTCATGTCTTCTTTTTGTAACTATATCACATTCAGTAACATGAAACGAATATATAATGCTGCGGAAAATTTCATTTATAGATTATAATTGTCTCAAGCTTATATCAATTGATGTACGTTTGGAAACTAAGGGGCATTTTATATCTGTTTCATCTTTATATGGAACTACTAAGAGTGTTTTCTATAACTCAACTACATTCATAATAATTGATTTTAGTTTTCACAGATTAGCAAAAGCAATAACAGTCTTGAGATGGATTAGTAAGTCAGTATCGTGATCTACTTAATGTATAAATCGTATAAAAGTATATATATGAAACCGGTAAAAACAAAAGGATCAGTTTGATGATTAACTGTTTCTAACCATGAAAACAATTTAATGGTGAAAACCTGCTTTTTTCATTTACTGAGCCATGTTAAGCTATTTTATTACTTACGAACCGAGTAAAGGTACTAGAATAGCACAAGCAATTATTGTCAGTTAATACTCCAAAGCAGAATTGTCACAAAGTATATTACACTTGTGAACGAATGAATAATATCTATACTTGTAATTGCCCATTTAATACTTTTCGATGTTATCAGATTATGGTGAATAATTAATCTTACTTGCTTACTTACTTATGCCTGTTACTCCCAATGGAGAATAGGTCACCATCCAGTATTCTCGAATCATTTGATTCTAATTGACAGTAAACTATTCAGTTCAATATCTGTTTTCATAGTGATTTTCACAAAGCCTGAAAATATCTTTCATTTATTATAATAAACAGATTTTATGACCTCACAATAATCAGCGATTTTAAGTGAATATTCACTAGCAAATGAAAAATATTGTTCACTAGAAGGTTGTGTAAATCAAGTACTATATAGGAAGGTTATTTTTGTCAGGATAGAGTGGTTAATCTCATACTCAACATTCTACTCTTACCCATTAGTAATCCTGGAAGAGCTCCAGGCACCCTAAATGAAAGCGTTAAGTATTCAATTAACAAATATAAATTATTGTTTTCAATAAATACCTATTATGTGATCATAAATAAGTGTGAAAAATACCCATATTGTGATTTCACAGTTATTATATAATATACCCTTGTGGGCCAGGGTAATTTTACATCGGTTTTCAGGAGAACCAGACACGATCCGGACTTTCATGTGACAACCCAAGCAGTACAGCTCAACCCCGTTGTGATTTAGAACGACATATATAACTGAACAATACTGTTTTCCATTATATCTTCATCAGGCTTTACTCTAAATAAACAGTAAAATTGATATGAATATACGAAACTATTAAACCTATCAAGGTAGTTTATGAGTCAATGGGGATAGTAGATTAGATTACATAGCTAAATATAATAAGTGAAAAGTACAAATTGGTAGTGTAATGACAGGTGTACTAGTTGTGATAAGAATAATAAAGGCTTCAATCAATATTACATAATGGGAAATAGGTCAATAATTAGAAAAATATAGACGTAATAAGAAGTGTTCAGATAATTGGACCGTGAAACGTATATTTGAGAGGAAATAAAATAAAATGGTACGAGAGGGTGAAGAAAAATCAACGACGAGGAAGTATGTAAAATAATAGTAAATAATATCATTTATTAAGGCCAAGGAAGAGGAAAAGGTGTTACAGATTTTTCATGAACACAAACACTTGGGTTATTGGCTCGAATTTCCATTACTTTCGCTATATGTAAGAGTCGAGATCAAACCCCATAAGGAAAACTAACTTATTTCTGTCTTCTACATGACCGCCATCGATCAAGTATGATAGAACCGAGCCGCACATTGTGTTGACAGTACCTTCTCCTAACCACGTAGGGAGGTATTCAATAACTCTTTGGCTCAGGTGTCTGGTAGTGCGCCCAATATAGCTTTCTCCACAGGAGCAGCTGAATTCGTAGATACACATAGAAGTGGCATAACCATGTGACTTATCATTTAGTTGGGGAATCGCCATAGATCGGATCAAATACGATAGAGAAAGGTTGGTTGCACTAAACGTTCTCTTAACTGCTCTAGTCAGTCCATAATCACGTAGCACACCACCAGCTATACCTCCTTTGAAGAGAGGTTTCTTACTAGCTGTTGATGTCGTTATTTTTTTATTTGTTACAGGCAAGTGATTCTTAAGGAAACCTTGTGAATAACCCATTTCAATCAACATATAATGTATGAGCTTTAATTCCTTTTTAGCTCTGCTTGCAAGACATTGGACTTGACTTCTTTTACATTGAAGATGTACAGAGCTCAAGAAATATGTGTACTGCCTTGATGAAGAACGTTTCCTATACACACTTCTACTGATAGGACTATTTTCTTTTCTGTTTAATAAAAGGTCAAGGAAATGTAGTTTATTATCTAGTTCCTATATACATATCAATATTACTGTATATTAGAGTAAAGCTTGATGAGGATCTAATCTAAAACAATATTGTTCACTTATATATGTTGTTCTGAATCATGAATAAATGAATTAAAAGGATTCTCAACATTCTCATTTACTTAAATTTGAATGAAGACAATTAAAATCGTATGATGACTTTCTATTGTCAGTCAGTCAGTTCTGTCAACAACAACGTAGAACTAAGTACATACGTACACCAGTTCGAGTTGCCATACCACATTAGCACAGAGATACAATTGTCGATTCAAATCACGTGGTGATAGAGGTAGTAAACATATAAGCAGTAATCAGAAAGATTAGGGTTTGAAGATGTTATTCAAGGAGTATAAACCAGCGAAATATATTTGGAAGAAGATTCAGAAGGTTAGAATTTGTGAGAACATAAAGAATGGATGCACCTGCGCCATTGCAAACGATTTTGAGTCGTCATTCAAGGTCTCTAACCGTCGGTTGCTATCGTCTTGCGAATCCAAAGCAGGTAGTCTACACATACCAAAATGGCTCAGTCCACTTGTCAGTGACTTTATTGATTTGTTCCATGTTTTGGTCTGGCCGCCCCTAGCTTTCTTCCAACCTACTCCTACAACATAAAACATCACACATCGAAGCAGTCGATAGATGGGCATATGTAGCACATGTACCAGCCATCTCAACTAATGAACTTTCACCACTTCATCAATTGTACATAATTCAATTAACAGGTCACATATGAATACAATTAGATAATTCGAAAAAAATATAACTTGTGAGCTTCTACTATTTTCTATTTCATATTCATAATAATTAACAGAATTCCATATTTCACTTGTTGAAATCATGAGTCAGCTGAGGCTAGACCACTATGGAAAACCTGGAAGCACTGGACGGCCATTTCGTCCTACTACGGCACTCCTCAGCAGTGCGCATCCACGATCCCGCACTCCACGGGACTTGAATTCAGGACCTATCAGTCTCGCGTCAGGCGCTTAACCAACTAGACCACTGAGCCCGCATCCAACGGCGTTAATGTCTAGCTTCAATTGACTCATGGTTTCAACAAGTGAAATTTCTAAAAAATCTCCACATAACCCATTGTGATAAGAATTACATATCTTTTATGACATAATCTATTAGACTATAATTTTTATTTGCAAATTTTTCTTTTTATAGAATACCAATTCAATTACCTAAATGTGTAAACATTGAGTTGGTTCATGTTGCTTACAAAGTATGAATAACAAAATAATATTACGTAATTGATCCTAGAAAAAAAGGGAAGGAAATCATCCGAAAATAGAATTCAATTAAACATAAAGCGTAATGAATAATACTGTTTCAGTTACCTGATTGTATTTTTCTTTCACTGTTTTCATTATACTACTTAATTCATTAAAATGTTCTGGATATCTGTGATTTACATATTCCTATTTATTGATTCATGTTACCTTTTTTCTTATATCACAAATGAGGGCTAGTGAATACAAAAATGATGTTGAATGACTATTTTTTTGCATGAACTACAAATAAATGATGAATAGAATACTGTAATCTCCACCCGGATGAGTCTTTGTTTCTTGACTGTTAACGTCAATGTTGTTGAGATCTGTTGAAATGTTCAAATTGGATTTTTCTTGACATTTGAATTTTACTGTTTACATCTGAGAGTTATTTTTTTCTTGTCATAAAATATTGAATTGTTTTCTTCAGCTCTTCTAAACTAGACTACATTATTCTTATAGACAGATAATTTCCCATTTAAACATTACCTATTACCTAATATAGTATTGTAATCTTTCTATAATGTCATCTTGGTCATTCATTGTTCATATTTCCTCACGGAACTAGTACTTTAACAGAAATATATTTTCATATATATATACGATTGGATTGCGGCCTTTTAATTTTGAGTCACCTGATGATAGTCTTGAATCCTGGTATGATATTAGGTGTTCTTTTTAGAAATGAATGAAGTCTTATAAATAATTTATTCTTATTCTGAGTTGGTGGAGAAGATTTGTAGCTTGGGTGGATGATTTTGATGGAGTTTTGTTGTTTGAGATGGATAGTTTTGTCATGGAGCTTTCATTGTTCTTCTAGACGACATCATCAGCACACACTTCAGATAGAAGTCTGAAGTTTCTGACGTTTGTGCTGATGATGTCGTCCAGAAAAACAATGAAAGCTCCACGACCAAACCATCCATCTCAGAGAACAAAACTCCATCAAGATTTTTATTATGAATAAATGTTTGGTTTATGCTGTAGATCTTGTCAAATTATCACTGTTACTTATTGAGTTAAATGAGGAAAAATTTAAAGAAAATATTGTATTATTTATATGGTTCAGTATATCCATCTAGTGTGCTGTACAACCATTCATGATATTATTATTATTATCACTAATAGCATTATTCAATCTAGAATCCTCATCACAAAGTATTTCAACAAGTTATCTTTCCTTATTTCTTCATCTAACCTGACGATAAGTATTGAGTGATCGCCAGTTAGATGTCAGCAGTTCAGGAATCGATATCTGAATAATGATCATTCGTTTTAATGCATGTTGACATCCATCACAATATCTTTGATTGTAGTTTTTTGTAAGTTGTATGGTGAAATATTGCAAACTTTTCATAAACGCGATTAATTAGGTTATGCGATTAAAAAACATAATGATGTGTAAAAAACAAACAGAAAACATGTAACTTATTGAGATATGTTGATATCAGGAACAGGTAGCTCATATATTCAAGTAAACTGTCAAAGTTATCAAGAAGTATCAACAAGAAATAATAGTAATGGTTTAGTTGGATATCTAACCTATGAAGTACACTTTTATGTTCTAACATTTTTGAATTAATGCATTTACTTAAATGACAGTTTGTTGATTACTTATAATTTTCTAATATATGTAATTTCTACCTGAAGATCATTACCAAATCAAATGATACCTTTCTAACGTTGATGGATGCTTTCTAGTTTTAAAGAAATGTAATTGAGGATCTTATTACCGACAAAATATAGTTTAGTCACCCGTTTAAATGGTTTTAAACTGTTTATTTTTGACAGTTAATTTTTTGTTTTTTAGATTCATGCAGAGATATCAGAGACATGTTGAGAAATCATCTTTGAGATAATCTTTCTATACACTTGTTGTTTTCACATAAGAAAGTCATTCATATATACTTATCCATTTATGTTACTTCTTTTATTTAAGTGTCACTTCCTCATATCTGTCCATTGAGTCAATCATCCTATAGTGATTAACTCTGGTTACATTCTGAGATCACTGATAGTCAAATGAAACTGGTTTAAACTTTGACTTTAATGACCACTTAGTGTTTTAGTCAAAAAGAACGAATTATTCTTGTTTTTTAAAGAGAACTACAGATTTATTTATATCCAGTTTATATGTTCATATGGGAGATATATGGAGATATGGAAATATGGGATCTAGGTGATTGATGGTTTTCAATTGACACACATTGTAACCTGTTTTGGAACTGTCAGATTTTCTGAGAAATGAAAGCTAAGTAATCTTCTAGAACATAATAACTAAAGTTATTCATGATGTTTAAAATCGTTTATGATTATCCCTTATTCTATTCTAAACATTCATAATGAACTAGGTATTCCGTAATGTGACTACTAATTCTTCTGTCGAAATCTATTTTGCTGGCAAAATCGTTAGGATTGTGGTTACAAGATAATTACAGTGTATATTTTGATTTCTTATAAAGAAGAAATCCTGATAATGAAAGAAGCTGCTCACTCATTATAAATTTCGTTGTCATATAATATTTAGCTACTGAGTTCTAAATTGTAGTTAGCAGAAATGGTTCAACGTCATCTTTACATTCTTATTTAGAATTTTCAACTGTATTTCAATTTAGACAATTTGATATTTTTGGCAATTAGGCTTCTTTATTGAAATTAGAGATTTCATGCATCATAATACTATGAAATTATAAACTATTGTTGGTCCACCAGGGTGCTCGGTACCTGTATGGTTGTGTCACAGGATTAAGTTGTACTATTCAGATTGTAGTTTTAAAGCCTATACGGTTTCTGGCTCTCCAGTCAAACAGGATTGAACTGTGCTGTTTGGGTTGTCACGTGAAAGTTTAGATGGTGTCTGTTTCTCCTGAAAACCAATGTAAAATTACCCTGACTCACAAGGGTATATTGCATAACTAACAGACTATTGTGCTTCTAATCTGGTATCAATAGTTAGATAGAGTTGAAATATTTGAACTTTCAGAAGTAGATGTTTTATTAAAAACTAACTATCAGCGGTATTATCATCAGTAGATGTAACACTACAGATTGTATTTCGAATATTAATTGCAACTGATTGTGGAATTGTTCATGAAATATTTGATACAGTCAGATCGGCTACTTAGGCCGAGATAGCAACTCTGTATTTCGATGTCGTACTATCAGTTAATTGTCAAAAATTCTGAGGGAGCTAATGATAGCCTCGAGATTCGAACCTGACTTATTCAGTGTTAATGCATTTCGAAGAATACATGTTACAGGCAATATAAATACAATATAAGTCAACTATATTAGCTTAATCATAGCTAAAAAAAATGTTATTATAGAACTGAAGTTATTCTAAAGATGACAATGGCAAATTTTGAAGATATCTACATTGTTGAACAATGAGTTTTGGCTTGAACAGATTAATGGCCATAAAATTAAGTTTCGTTTTTATTCTTGAATATAAATATTTTATATTTCTCTTGACTCTTTCATTTATGATCAAAATATTTCATACATCATTTTCATTAACTTGAATTTGTTATCTTTCAGGTCAAATGGTTAGTTAATTTAAATTAGTAGAATTTTGAAATATATTCATTAGAAAACCTTATCACGTTTTTTATTAAATTGTTACTAACTATTCAGAAGTTGGTTCTATTTACATCGATACTTTTAAACTTAGAGTTGATCGATATTCAGCAAGACGTGCTTGATTAGGTTGAGATCATGAACAGATCACTGTTAAACCACCATTGAAAACATGGAAGTGATGGAAGGCAGTTTTGTCCCAGTATGGTATTCATCGTAAGTGCGCATCCACGATTCCGCACGCGGGACTCAGGCCCAGGACTTCCGATCTCGGGCGCGAACCCCTAATTTCTAGACCACTGAGTCGACATCTAATGGTGTTAATGTCTAATTTTAACCGATCCACGAAATTGCGCAACCATCTTCTATTGCTTTCGGTGGATAACTGATTCTTACGATACAGCTGAACTTTACTGGTTACTGCTTCCCACTAAAACTCCATGGATTGTCTTCCGAAGCTGATCACTAGTGAGTACATGATAATTATCAGTATAAGGTTGTAGAGATTGTTAGATTTTAATTGAGCACTGCTAAGTTCAATACTAGAACGAAATAGTCGTCCAGTGCTTCCAAATTACCAGTGGTGGTCTATCACTGATCAGCTAATGATCTCAATTAAAACTTATTAATCACCACAACCTCATACATTAATTCGATGTTTTATCATGACACTACGATTTTATATAGCATACTGTTAATATTTTTCTAGTATGAATCAAGTTTATTATGAAGATAAAATTTGAAGAAATATTCAAACCAAGTTTAATCAACTAACCATACACAAACCAGTAAAGTTGATGCTGAATACTGGGACATAGTCATCCAAAACTCTTGTGTTTAAATTTTGCAATATTTGAAATCCTAACAAAACCTTCAAATAAATACCGGTTTCATAGAATCTTATATTCAGGGACATTTTACTGAGTTACACGAAGTAAGTTGAAATCTGATTGACAGAATTTGAACTCAAATGATAATTAGATACATTATACTGGTTTCTACTAATATTGCATAAACATTCTTTTAGACATGTTTCTATAATATGCTCTCATGTTTTCCTCTTATCAACGCACATCCCAATTGGTGAAGAACCTATCTGAGAATTTCATCAATGAATATTACTGTTCTTTCAAAAGAATTTCCCGTTTTCAATTCGGTAAACAGATTGTTTCATTACGAGTTCAAACGTAGTATCATACTTATTTTCAATATTTTGATTGGCTAATTTCCCTTGACGTCGTTTTTACATCTATTTTATTGATTAACTTGTAAGATCATAATAATTTATGGGGAATTGTTTATCTTCGCATAATCAATAACAGTTTGTATGTCTATTAGGCAGTCTATGTGTTTCTATTAAAAATAAAATATTTCACCTAGTTCTATAAACGTCTTTCGAACAGTACGAATATGTCTATACAAAGTGAAAGAAATCATTAAAAAACATTCTCGATCATGTAATACGATAGTCCATAGTCAGAAAATGATTTTTCTAGAATGTTTTGTTAATTTCATTTAACACAAATGGGAAAACCTAACACCAATATAAAATAAACTTGATTAAATCCAATTAATGATAAGCTTCTTCATAAACTGACATTGAATATACACTATAGACAGTAGAATTAGATAATAAAAGTGTCACAGCAACCACCAATGTTTTATTCAGAAGAAAAAACAAGGATGGTAGCTAGGTTCGAATCTCGATGGGTGCGGGATCGTGGATGCTCACTGTTGAGGAGTTTCATACTAGGAGGAAACGGCAGTCCAGTGCTTACAAGTTTTCCATAGTGGTCTAGGTTCAACTGACTCATAATTTCAATCTGTGAAATTACATATTTGTTTGTTCACAGAGATAGATGGAAATTAAAAATGAAGTCTAGTTTAAAATGAATTAAAAAATGAGTAAAGTTTCACATAAATCTAAATTAATTGAGCTAGATACAAGGATACTTTACACAACAGACTGAAAAGTTCTACAACGAACCACAGTAAACATAAGCTTACATATTACACTTTTGTTATTCAATGATTTATTTATGATTATTGATGATTCCTTTTTATTATTGTATATTCCTTATGTATCTTTGTTAATACTGTGTGATATTATTCTAGAACTATTATTTCAACTATCTATAAAAATATCCGTCTGAAACATTCAAACAGGCGCCTTACTACAAATACGTTTTATAAATGATTTTACATTATCCTGGTATCAAGTATTTTTTTCAAACATTCCAAACTTTTTAGTTGCTTCAATCAATTATACTTATCAAATTGTACATTGTAGATGGATCAAAAGTAACAACGTCCATTGAAACTATCTTATTCTAAGAATATTATCATCCTTTTTTTATTGAAACATGAAAACATTTGAATTGTCACCAAAATATTTAATGTGTAGTTGGAAGCATTACAGAATTTTGGACTGAACAACATTCAACGGATCAATTTTTATAAGTCATAACTGTTTTATTTAGAATATGGGATAAAAGTTACACTTCAACAGTTACATTATCATGACAAAACTCTTCCAAATATGCTTCATTCTCAAAATATGTTAATTGTAGACATAACACTATTAAATGCAATGTAACATATACCTTTTTCACTAGTGCTTAACAATGATACTTGGATGAGCCAAGATAAATAAAACTGATTTTGTTTTTTAAACAAAGTAATAAAATTTTTCGAAAGAAATCATCAGTAAAATAGAAATTTCAATAAGTAAATAAAAGATAAAGAATGAAATCTAGTAAACTATGAACATTCCACCAAGAAGATTTAAAATAAATGGAAGTGTACACTCTCATAATTCCTTGAATAGAGATATCTGAAATGTATGCAGCATACTTACGTAGTTTACAATGTCATTTAAAAAATCAAATCAAAAACATATAATCTTCACATTTGTTTTAAGTTTGGATTTGATTACACACACTGTGAGTTGTGTTTAAAGGTTATTTGTTGCCAGGCGCGTAAAATTCTTTCGTCCATTCAAAAATCACGTCAAGATTAAATCCAGAAATATTTCTGGAAATGAACGAAAATAATAAACTTGAACATTCATTGGTCCCAGTGTCTATTTATTATTTGAAATGGTTTGTATTTTCCCGTTGCCAGTGTTAATAACTACAAATAACCAGTCTATATTGAGCAAGTTGCCTTAATATTAACATCTCTTCACACGTTTTTAGTCACATTCGATAGAGGCTGACAGTGGAATCCAAGATGAATGGTTTATCCTACTTGGGACTCGTCAATTAGGTGTACCTAACACATTTCAACATCAAGGCTCTCCACTGTAATCGAACATAGTACTTATGGTTTCAAACAATAAACCCGTTGTTCACTAAGTTCTGAGTTTAACTAGGTACTAATATGTGCGAGGGGGGATGAACTGAACTGTACACGTCTGTATAATTTCGTCTGTGATGTTAATGACTACAATTGATTGCTCGTGAGAGCGAAGAGTAATTAGGTAAAAACAATTTCATGTTCGGGAAAAGTTACACAGTGCCTCTGTAAAATATTGAAATCATACATTAAATACATTATTTGCATATCCTCATCTGCACATCTCCATCGTTCCTCCAATTCTGTAGTGTTCTAACTGATCTCTGGTTTATTTCTTCTCTTTATTTCAGTTTTCTGTTGATAAGGATTCCACTTCCAATTCTTGATATATACTTCTTATATCTGTTCACATAAATAGCACACACTGAAATTGCTTAAGACGTCGTATTCCTTAGATTAGTATCAAACAACAATTGTTCTTGGATGTTTATAATCAATCTAAATGGAAAATTCATTTAATGTTTTTATATCACTACGATTCCTCTAACAACTGTATTTTCTAAAGTGCTATGTTATAAATCAGTACGAAGTTTAGTGAAATGAGTGTATGTATTCTGAATCCCTAACTAACAATACTTATAAGTCTGTGAATAAATTCTGTTTGAAGAATGGTTGACGGAAGCCCAGTAAATCTTGTTAATATTTGGAAACCAATAGGAAAAGTGTTCTTATACAGTTCTTTGACTAATCTACAAAATACACAGAAGTGTTCTGAGACCTGCTGCTAAATGTCTTTTTCATTCACATTTAAATGGATTAGATTATCCTGTTGCTGAAATGTTAACTGAAATTTGTTCTTTCCCACGTGGCATATAAGCATCCTATATGGACTGCCTCGATATAGCTACTGTAATACAAGTTCCCATGAAAAAGATGAGACATGGCTACCAGTGTAATCCAGGACCCACATTTCTTAGTGTTTGATACTCGGAGTGAACACCAACTCTGAGGTGGAGGTACATTGAGCTGATTAGTACTAAATAGTATGAAAGCGCTATCTGAACTCTATTGCTGTTCACGTTCTGACTGTCTGGAAATACTGGAAATGACATTCAAGTACTATGAACTACAGTTCAATTCTTGATCTTTCAAGAGTTCTTCTATTTAGAATTATTGTACACAACAAAATCAGATAGAAATATTTATTTGAAATGAAATGCATATTTATAACCGGGACTACCTTTCATATTGTTATAATAATGAAGATTACAGCCAACAAATGAATAATATTGCATGATTTTAAAAGATTGACAAAGTACTTAAATCATTTCAAAATACCAGTTGAACAACTGAAACAAAATAAACTCAAACCAATTGCAGAAAATAAACTACTGTTAACGAACAAGGTCAATAAAAACTCATTTTTCAATTGGATATTTGGATCTTCTCATTGACGTTTCAGACTGTGATTGATCAGTCACCCATTGACATTTGTACATCATGTGAGTGTCACCTTGATATTAATTTGGGTCACAAGTATTATAGGCAGGGATGGTTGGTGGCTAGCAGTGGAATCCAGAATGTTCGTTTCGCCCTATTTTGGACTCGTCAGCTGCATGTTCTTGGTACTTGCACCCCTAAGTTGGTGTTTACTCCGGGGCTCGAACCCGGTACCGTTTGTTTTAAACGTGGTCGCACTATCCACTAAACTACTGAGTCTAGATAGCCAATTGTAGTCCTAAACGTCAGTGGAAAGATTCAAACAATTAATCCAAAAATGAATTAAACTTCACCCCATTGCGCAAGCTAGTGGCTATCCGTACTCAATAAATAAGTGTATGGCGCGATGGCGTTTAAAATGAACGGTAGTCAGTTCTGGTCCCAGAGTGAGCATCGGCTCTCTAATGCAGGTTTATTCATCTGTCGAGTTTCAAATAAAGCGAAACGTGCGTCCTGGATTCTGCCGTTAGTCACCATCCATCTCTGATTATAAAATCTTTAAAAGCTACTATATAATCATCAAAACGATCTTCCGTGAAAATGTACTAAAAGATAATATATTTCTTTAGATAATATCGGTTAAAAAATATCTCATTTTAGTAGTGTTGATTAAAAACTTGTTCCTGAATTTCCGGCTTTGATATTTCAAGATCTTGAAATCCAATTTCAGTTGCGTATTTGGTTTACGGATTTAAGAAGTCTGGAATCACAACAAAATAACTGTCTAGTAATCACTGGTTTTAAATGATTTATCTGTAAAATTAACAATTTGAAAAAAATTCTTAGAATCGTTAAAGATTATATGCTCAATACTTATTAGCTATATGCATAGTTTCAGGAGGAAGACGTAAGTGATGATGTCTATTCACATGAAAATGGAAACCAATGTTACTAACAATATCGGATAGTTGACGCGTTGATCATAAAATGATTTAAACTGTAGATAGAAATCAATAAATTTTAAATGATTGACCTAAGAAAACAGTGATAACTGCGGAAAATGAATGTTTTTGGTTCTAATTGTATCTAAGTTACCAGTGCTTACTGATTTGAAGTTCAATACTGGAATGAAACAGCTGTTAAATGTTTCTTATATGTAAATGGTTTTCTATTTGAATTTAGTTCGCAACAAAAATCATTTTCAAATTACATTGGTTTCCATCTTGATCTTCGTCATTTGAAAAATACAAAATATATATACTTTCATTTCAACTGTGATATAAAAGTCTTTTAGGGTTTCGTTGCTTTTAATTTAAAAATATAATTATGATGAATAAAAACTGATCAGTGATATGACTTACGTGATCAACTACAATGGTCCATTTTGATTTTTATGCATTCATCGATTCTTCGACATAAAGTAGAAAAATACTCATCAAATGGATACTTTCCAGAAATGTCGATACGATTTTCTCGGGCAGTTATAAGACCAAGCCAACCCTTTGGTTTGTAGTCACGTTGTGCACGTAAACAAATAATTGGTTTTTTCAAACAAACTGCATATGTTGCTTCTATTCAATAAAAAAAGATTTATTATCTACTTAACACCGGAAAATTAAAATACTTTTCCACATTGATAACTATGAACTGTTCCAATTTTTTTTAAGTATAACGTTCATTTGTAGTTTCATAGTAAATAAAACCTAAGAGTTAAAACCAGACATTACTAGATAATTTTAAAAGATTTATTCTTCAAAATTTAGTCATGCTTTTAAAATAGCCACTGCCTAATCATCCAGTCATCACAAGACAATGAACTACCTGCATATGATTATTCAGATTCAACTGTGTAAGCTAACAGAAAGAAGTCAACAAATGTAGAATCTAAGGCAATTTTGGCAATTTAATAACATTTCAAATGTAAATGGTAACCAAATTTATGCTTCAGCCGTCTAATCGAAAAATATAGTTGATAAGATTTTATATGATTCCTGCTGATGGTGTGGTGTGTGCTACTTATATTGACATAAGTAGTAGATGATATTAGTCGTGAACAGAAGGTCTGGCAGCAGAGAAACAAGAGGATCAAACAGTAAAGAATGGAAACAGAATGTAATTTGTATGAAAATGCAAGAACAATGAAGTCTGAGTCATTATGAGATAAACGATGGACATTTTGCAAATTATGTATTTACTATTCGATTGTAAAATTTTATTGACAAGCCCTCTAATTTTGTGACATATACATTCGATTGTCCCCACTGGTGTTTTTGTTCGCTACAATGGTAACTAGACAAGGTCTGAAGGTCCTGGCTCATATCTTTGCTGAAGTTGTAGATGCTCACTTCCAAGGTGTCTCATACTACGTCAAAACAAGTGTCTATTGCCTTGTGATTTCTACAGTTGTTATATCAAACTTAATCCATAATATCATGCTTTAAATATATGTTGAAATAACTAATAGCCGAATGTAAAAATCGATTAGATTTTTTGTGAAACGGATTTTTGTTAAAACAGTCAAAAGATTGCTTATATTATGGAATACTTTTGGAGAATTGTCGGACTTGACTGTGGTTGGGTAGTGATTTCACACAAATCCAAATAACTGGTGCAAGCACGCAATGAAAGATTATTATGACAAGGAATAACTGGGGAGCGAAATTACGGTTTTACTGTATAAATTAATGACGTGGACATTTACAAAATCTTCGACTCAAAATAAACAGGACCACAACTTGATGAAAACCTTAAAAATATTGGATTTGTATTTCGTAGATCATTTAGGAACCAATACATTTGAGATGTTAAAATTGAGTTTATTTGTGTGCTCATTATATTGTTACTAATAGTAAGTGCTATTACAACTGAACAAACACAAAGTTTTTTACATTGTTTTGTAAATGCTTGAGTTGATGTAAACTATTTACAACTATCTTTAGAGAAATGAATGGAGTAATTTATTCTACGTTGAACAATTGTGAAAATGATGATACCAATTTTTAAGAATTTCGTAACTAGATATACTTTGGTAGTAAGATATTCTCTTTAATACATGTACTTGATAATGAGGTCTGGTAATTCCTTAAAAAGAAGCATCCGTAAGTACTGGCAGCTACTGTGGACATAAGCGGCACTTGAGGAACGATTTCAAAAATTTAAGAACGTGGTTTTAATTGAGTATAAAACGATGAAATAACTGTAAATTCTGATTTACGATGGCTTCCAAAAATATTTGGTTCAATGGGAATGGAAGGTAGTATGAGCGTTTAAAATATGTAGCTTGTAACCAATGCATATTCTTCAAATCATATAAAGTTGCCATGACCATTAAACAAAGTTTCATCGGGTAGATTACGTACAATGATGTGCTCTAAAGACAATTACTGGTAGAAACACTGTAGCTATTAAAGAAATATTCACAATTATCGATATACAGATGATTATAATGGTTTAAATTCTAAAACACTAATCGTAATAATTGTAGTAACCTGAATAATAGTTTTTTGGTATATCATTGGTAAGTATTATATTGATGTATCAATCTCATATTTTAATGCACATTATGTAATAGTTATATGTTATTTTCAATAAGAATTGTTATAAAGTGTTAAGCATTGTCCACATTCAACTGTCCAATCAAAGGGTAAAAGTAGTAACCAATGGATCTTGGTTTAACCAATCGGATAATATTAGTGTTCAAGGAAAAATACATCGAACTGTACTAATTGCATTTGTTTATTTTTTAAAATTAATTCCACTTACCCATTTCAGCATATTCGCTATTTTTATAATTTTCGGAATATATAATACATACAGCATAAGATCTTTCTATGGCTTCAGCCATACTTCTAAATGTATTTGCAGCATATTTCAGATTGTCTTGATCAAACCATACCTGATACAATGAAAACATCAACACTTATAGAAAGACATTTCTAAATAACTATCAATAACAATGGAAAATTACTAGTGGTTTTCATCATTTAAATGAATAGGTAAGCGTTTATTAACGTTGATTTTTCAAACATGTAGTGTTGTGATGTGTGCTACTGATGTCGATAGGTATAAGTTGTACGTGTCATCAATCGAAAGTGAAATGCCTGGAGGCAGACGGTTAAGAAGACCAAACAAAAGAGAAAGAGAACAGAGAATGATAGGTGTGCAAACGAAGGAACAATCAATTCTCAGACAATTGATTGATATTTTGAAAATGAAGTATTTATTGTATGGTTGTCAAATTTTACTAAGATGTTCTGTAATTTCATATTCAAACACATTTGGTTGTTCCCAATTGTATGTTCTCGTTTACTACTGTGTTAACTCTCTTTTTAATAACCTAACAGTTAATGACGTTCTGTTACGCCTTTCGAGAAAAAGGCTTTTACGTTTGTTTCATATGTTCTGCTAACATATATCTAAAGTAGGTGACAACTATATATTGGTCTTACAATATCATAAATTGATAGATATAATATTGTCGTTGAATTTAACGAGATGTTCTGGAAGTAATACACTCTTTATGAGACTTGAAGTCAATGTATGTACTGTTGAAAAATCTCAAATTAACAGAATTTTTTTCAATTTTAACGATAATCTAGATGATGCCGATTCTTGTCACTATTCTCAGGAAACAACAAGTTCACAAACTTTTCATCTTATTTATAATTTAAAATAAACAATTTTCGGGATGGTGGAGAAGACTTGTAGCACAAATATAGGAACAAAAATCAAACCAATGGGAGACATAACCAAAACAAAGAAGTAAACAATGACAAATTTAAGGTCAAAAAGAACCATTCAACATCGAAGTGCACAGAACAAGCTGTGAAACACATATGGAGAAATTAGAACACTTCACTTCTACCTGAAGTTTGTGCTGATGATGTCGTTCAGAAGAATGATGAAAGCTCCATGACCAAACCATCGAGCTCAGAGAACAAAACTCTACCAAAAACAATTTTCGAGTTTTGAAAGTCGTGTTTTGTTTTAATAAATATAAGCTTTATTTAATTTATTTATTTTATCATCACATTTATACATTACATAAATAGCTGAATTATAAATTATATTGTATTTAATGAATAATATGAAATTATAGAAAGAATTAATGTTGACATTTGACCAAGTATTTCGAGTATACTTAATTTACGTTAGTTATGAATGATTTCAGATGTCAAAGAATATAAAAAAGGAGAATACTCATATTTCAATTTTGGGCAATGTTAATAATGACATTTAAATATTACTAATCTATTGTATAGAATCTGGTTGACGTTCACTTAGCAAGATTTTTTCTACAGGATGGGGTTGCTGACCTCATGCCCAACCCTCCTTCTTTACCAGAGCTTGAGGCCGGCAGTAACTGTAGGACAGCTACAGGCTGAGTTTTAAGCCCTGTGTGTAGGGCTGCCAAAGAAAACTTCGATTCTTGGTCGACGGTTCTTAGCATGCAACAAATCACAAGAGTAAAACCATGACCATCATCAAGAAGGTACAAGTATTTATAAACAGTTGTCTGCTCAACATTCATTGACCGGATACCATCAGCAACAGCCTTCTGTGGGAGAGAACAAACCAGCTTCCAGTTGAAGAGGAAATTAAGAAAAAAAATGGAAGTGAATAGGACATATATTATGGAAGTCACCAAACTGCATCACGAGGCAAACTCTGACTTGAACTCGTGAAGGGAAACGGAGAAGAAGAAGGTCAAAGAACACATGACGTCGTGAATCGGAAGCAGATATGAAAAGGATGAATAGCAACTGGAAAGAACTGGGAAGGATTGCATAGGACAGGGTTGGATGGAGAGTGCTGGTGGGCGGTCTATGCTCATCCACAATGAATAACAGGCGTAAGTAAGTAGGTATTGAATAGAATATAAACTGTTATGAGAATACATAAAAACAGGAACATTTTTCAACAATGATGAAAGAAATCACAATTTTATTGTTAATTTTTATTAGTACAGTCGAATAATGTAAAGTTTTCAGATGTTTTTAAAAAAAATTCACTAACCTTATATCCTTTTTCTTTTAAATGTTTTGTAAGATTTATTGCAATTTCTTTCTGTTTATGACTATAACTTATCATTAAATGTTCAAGTTGCGTAGAAGAATTTAAGTTGGATTCATAATCTAGTGAATTCTCACCTAAATTATAGAATTAAAATAATAAAATGTCAGGAGAAATTCTGCATCAATGAAGACTATATAAATGTATATCAAAATGATATTGTTTTCAGTTATATACTGATTATTCTAAACTATTATAAACTGGAAAGGATTGCCCAGGATATAGTTGGGTGGACAGTGCTGGTGAGCGGCCTATGCTCCTCCACGAGGGGTTACAGGAATAAGTAAGTAAGTAAGTACAATAAGTCGACTGGAAAATCACAAAGTTTATTTAAATAAATCTTCCTTATATCACCTCTGATTATTCTGTCACGCAAGATATCACTGGTCATACTGTCTTTGATTTAGAGCTTATTGAAAAGAGATCTCTAATGAACAGTCTATGCCTCTCGACAGGCAAAACTCCCTAGCTATTATAGAAAAACAAATACAAACTTTTAATCGACCACAACAACATTCTAATCATCTGATTAATGAAACTGAGCAAAAATAGTAATAACCTAGGGGCAAAAATATAATGGTTTAAATTACAGTATTTTCAAATTAGTATACAAAATTTAAATAAATTACAGTAACGAAGGAATTGGGGATGATACCATATAAGTAACCAGAAAAATAAGAATAGAAAAAGATCAGTGTTAAACGCAAATGATCACTGGTTAAATATGAAATAGTTGAAGGTTAGGAAGTGAACAGTCTATCTCGTTAAGAACCTGTTGTAAAGAAAAACTATTTTCTACTATCAGAGGAAACTTATTTAAGACGTCATATTTTGCTGAAGTAGGTAATTATATGTGGTCTAAACAATGTATTCATAATACATTGAAACGTCCGTCACTATATATGAAAAATAAAACATAAAGATAAACATGTAGTAATAGATACAAGCTGAGCGGCAAGAAATTAGTCACATATAGAAATAAAATAAGGCAAATCAAAGTGGGTTTTTATAGGATTTCACAAGATATATCATGTAGTTTAATCTTTTATCATAGGAAAATTTGAAATCTTTTTTGTGATATACATACTTCCAACTATCAAATTTATAATCAGAGTAGTAGACTTTACTGGAGCTGCTACAAAATAATTAGTTCAATTACGGGCAACTACATAAAAATGTCTGATTTTGTTTTTCAAAAGATTCCTAATAAACAATAGAAATCCATAAATATCTCTTCCTTTTGCTAGTGAAGTTGGGAAACATATGTCTAGCGATCACTGAAATAAATTATATTCCAGCTAAATGTTTATATAGGCTTTGTGTTGCTTAGTCCACATATTGATTATTCAATACATTTAACTAAGTTCTGACAATTTTCCTTGGCATCTCAAAGACGAAGAATGCGCACATTCTAATAAGTTACTACTATACACTGACTAATATTTTGACAATTTAAATAGAGAATTCACTATATTCCAGATAACATTACGCCTGGTTGTTTTCTGTGACTGTTTAAGAATGGGATCTTAGGTTGAAAACTTCTGACGATGTGTTTTACTACTTAAGTTCCAAACCAATCTTAGTTAAACAGTTATGTTGGTTGTGAAGATAGTGCTTCGAAAAAATGGAAGATGGTCGAACAATATCACGGATTGACTAAAGTTAGACATAAAGATTATTGAGTCCTGGATCAATGGTTTAAGGGTTAAATAGTCTTACTCAAGACCAAAGGTTCTGGGCTCGATCTCCGGTGATAAGTCGTGGATGCACGCTAGTGATGAGTTATATACTAGTATGAATCAGCTGTTCCTTGTTCCCAAGACATCACATCCAACAACTTCCATATTGAGAAATATTATTCATTTGAAAATAATGAATATTATTCCCAAACATATAGTAACAACGACTGATACTTATTTCTAATTTATAGATAGGTATGTCATATTCAAAATCTGTTGATTATTGGTATCAATACCAAGGTTGGACTTGATCATTTTAAATAATATGAACATTCGATAGAGAGTTAATAATGAATATATTTTCGATATATCCAGATGGGAAATTCAAAGAATTATTTACCATTGAGTATTTGCTTTAATGTCGTTAGTAAAGTCACTTTATGATGAATAGTGGAAGTTTTATGGGAAAATGTTAGATTATGGTTGGAAAAATCATATCTTCGTTTTATTGAGTTTTTTAGTCAACTTCATTGAATTTATTTGATAAAACTAATTTGCATTTGTTACAATGCTGACGCAGAATCTTTGCAAGTCTACATTTTTTTATGACTTGTCGATAACTCAAGAGAATGAAATTTTATGAACAACTTTCTATTTCTGAGTATCGAGTAACTTTTGTGAATTACTTGAGCGATAAGTGGGGTATATATACTAGATAAATCTACTGCATTCGCCTTTCAGAAAACCATTTATGTTAGTTAAATAACATAGAATTTTACATTTACAAAAAGTACTGGTTTAATATCTGATTGTCTATATATATACTAACCTTGACTCATCTGCCATAAAATGCTATCAAGTGCCTTCTTTATGTTGTTTGAGGTTTTGGACTCTTCCGCTTTGAAAGATATGTCTAAATCCTTCAATACGACCCCAAAGTCTCTTCTTATTCTGTCTCTTATTTCAGAGTTGAGTGTTAATTTCAATAGAAAAAGTGTAACTTCTTCTAATACTTTTCCTTTCAGTGTTTTTATAGTGCACTGGATGCTTTGCAGTATAGCCGACTGGCATATGAACTGTCTGTTTTGATCACTAGATGCCAATAGTCTCAAACCTATAAAAATAATAAAAGAAGGAACACCGATTGTCTATATTTGGAAGGCCTAAATTTTGTTCTCAAAGTGAAACTGACAAATCGATCACCCAATAGCAATAACTGACTCCTTTATTGGTAACTGGTAAGTGTCGTTTCAAAAAAACTTTTACGGTGATAGTGAATTCAACTTTTTTTACACCAAAAGACTGTTCGTCGTTGTATTATGTATATTTTTGAATGTTGTTCTAATATTATCTAGGGAAACTTGCATTGATTTCGACGTTGATTAAATTAATGACACAATTATGAATTACTCATTGTAAAAGTCTGTAGTTCAACTAAACGTTTTGATGAATTTTGTGAGGTGGGCTTCTGAGCCGAAATTCCAACAGATTTTTGCTTTTATAACATATAAATCGCAGATAGAAGTGTTATTCAGTTTGCCCTTTTTTATCTCACATTAGGCTTATCAACCCAGTATATCTGCATGTCAGTATTGGTGCTCACAGTGACGATTTATCCCTAAACAGGAATTAAAAGACAATGATTTAATTCAAGACTAAACAGAACCTTATAGACAATTGGCCAAAAATCATGAAAAAACGTCGTTATGTTTGAAACTTGATGCATCTAACATAAACACAAAGAAGGCTGTGATATTGTTCCTGATTGACAATTACTAAAAGTAACAACTGATAAAAAACCCTGATCGAAAAGATAAATGTGCCAAAGAAGAGAGAAAGCACTACACAGTTAGACTGAGCAACTTTTGTGACGGTATTTATGAATGGCCGAATTCTATTTTTAAAAGCTCTATGGGTGATTAAAGGCATCGTCGCTGTAATTTCGACAACCTGTTTTTGAGTGATCTAAAATACTTGGATAATTAGTGGTTTATTTTAGTCTTTTAGCAAATATCACCGTTACCTTTTGGTCAAATGGCTCGAGTTTATTTATGTCGCGTTATGCATGGAATCTTGGTTTATTTATGATGCATGAAACCGTTCTGATTTACCATCTGATTTCTCTTTAACTGTCTATGAATTATTAAAATTGTGACATTCGTTTGTTGAACCTACCGTTTTTTAGTTTCATAGAATCTTATTCGTACCAGGACGGCCTGTTAATTGTAACATTCAAAAGTATTCCTTGTATCATAACTGAGCTACAATATTTGACTCAGAAATTTTACAACTAGTTATTATTGAATAGCGTCTAGGAACTCTGTAAAGTAAGTATCGACCATGTAACAGACAGCAATCAAAAAATGTTCAAAGCAGCCTACTAAACAATGATCATCAAGTGTAGGGGATCAGTTACAGAGTCGATAGCATTTCGTTGAAAGGCCTGTCGTATGAAATAGTGATCATGAAATACAATACTGCAGGTCAATGGAAATGTTTGACTTCCTGTAAGAAAAACCACTAAATAATAAAGTGTTTCATGAAGACCTCTTTACACACTGTATTCAAGTGAGATAAAAAGACTTGTCGAGATGATATCTGAAATAACTGCTGAGATCAGGTTTTCAGTAAAATAGCTCTCAAAAGTCAAAAACCTGTTCAGTTTCTTCTTCTTTACAAAACCTGTGGGTAAGAGACTGAGGAAAAGTAAAATATACGTATGAAATGGGGAAACAAAGGATTTTTATATGACTTCTTCAAATACAGAAGTAAGAGTTTGCGCCTCCATTGTCAATGAAGCCGTCCATGGTGCTTAATTAGGTTTTTTTTAACTGTGAACAATATGACGACAACTAAAGTAAATAAAACATGTAACTGGAACTAACCTTTTAAGATTTCTTCACATGAGTAACCATATATCCTTGTTGAGGGTTTATCAAGAGCAGAAGCGAGCATATTTACCAAAAAAATTATATTTTCGTTATCCCCAGGTATTAGCTGATCTTCATTATAATTGTACGCTAAGCTTAGATAAGAAGCTATCTAAAAAATATGGATATCAGTTATTATCGTACTTGCAAATTAGTATTCGTGGACTTTGAATAATGTGTAACAATATCTATGAGATTATGCTTTTTGAAGGCAAAACATATTATTGGGCTTTCGTGTTGCAGCATGTTGTAAAGGGTTTTTACAATTATTTCTACCACCAACGTGATTTTCTAAGGAATAATCCCAAATTAAATTTAGCTTGAATTTCTTACCTTTTCTTCAGCACAAATTCCGTCGTATGACAATATGGCTTGATGAATACGATATATTTCCTTCAAATAAGCATCTTGCATTGACATTTTCTCTGCCAGTAATTCACTTAGTTCAAGATAATTGCACAGAGTCAACTGAAATGATGATAGCAGTTCAATGTACTGTTCATTGTAGGATTCTTTCCCAACACTCAGAGATCCGAAGGAATATTCTCCCAAGTTTTTAAAGATCTGAGTAAGACGGTAGGGGTATTCACCGCTAGATAACACTTTTGTAGCTATCCAAAGGCGATAATCTTCCACTACGTTTCTAGAATTCTCGATGGCAAAAAAACTCCTGTCGAAAAGGTGAATGATTGATTTGAACTCATTTGAACTATATCCTTGGTCTGAGGGGATTTTACACATATGGTCGATCACCCTAATAGTCAGAGTCTTGACATCTTCTATAGATTGATCCATGAATCAATCTACAGTGTGTTGAACTTCATTCATCAAACATACGTCATTCCATCATCAGACGTCAAATCACTTGATATTGGGGTTTTTATTCATTTCAAGCAATGTTATTCAGATAGGTTGATGCATGAAATATGAACGTGGAGCGAAAACAAATTAACCTTTTATTGTTAGCGCGTTCAACAGCGATTAGTATACAATCTCCAATATCTACCAGACAACCTTCTCTCATATGTTAATCCTCCCAATTATATTCGTATTGTTATTAATACGATATCTAAAATCTAAAATTCCTGTAACGATGTTGTATTGACGCATCGATTTCTTTACGCTCACTCATTAAACGATATTATGTATTTGGTACAACATAGAATCTTCAACACGAAGTATTTCGACAAATAGTAAATCAACCGATAGTCACATACATATACACATAATTAATGTAAAGAAGTGTATTGAAATTCAGTGAGATGTCTTTTAGGTAAGTTGAAGTTTGTGCAGCATTTTAATTAGAGACGTACTTGAGAATATGCGATAAGGCGGAAGTTTAAAAATAATGGCGGCAACGCAGATGATAATAAGCTAGATAAGAAGTGGTCACTGGTATAGGGTGATGATAACAGTGGGTAATTTATGAGTCATCAGGCACAGATAGTCCAAACGAGAGGTGGTAATCCATGAGTGAGTGTGTTGCGGAATCTTCTTTTAAAGCCATCTACTGATGGAGCTGTGGCCACTCCGGTTGGGAGCTCACTCTGAGTGGGTAAAACTCTTAATGAGGAAACGTGATAGTGTATCTGGTTGTTCTTGCCATGATGTGCACTTTTACAGGGTTTGTTTTGAGAGGCGTGGTAGTGATGTTCATATCGGGTTGACTTGTTACACTTGGTGTTTTATATGACGTTAGCAGATCAGCCCTTATTCTCCTATAAATCAGCGATAGTAATTTAGGGTGCTGAAGTCTGTTTCCTTATGATTTTTGATTTGCTCCTATAACCCACTAGGTACTTGTTTTAAGAGATTTATATCTCTTTCGAAGAGTGACGGCAAAACAACAATGTGCATTTCATAGTGGAGTAGTGATGATATTTTAAGGAAAACAACGAACGATGCTGCAGCAAGAGCGGGTTTTCATAGATGATGTAACTAAATCATGTCCCATAGATTAGAATTTTCATAACATGTTATTTCGAGCCAATTATATCTAATAGGTCGTCTGCAATCAATTCGAAACAGGAGTAGACGGAAGATTGTTTCTTGTGGAACTCCTGATATTCAGACATTTGCAAGTTCGAGGGATAATATATGAACCAGTATCTTATTGTCCTAACAGGTCGTCTAGATTTTATGTTCTGTGAGTTGACTGAACGCAAAGGACTTGCCTTTCCTGATGTTATTTTATCCATGCATTCCTTCGTTTGCACTTTTACCAGTTTTTCCATTACTTTCAACAGTATTGAGAGCAATGGGGCCGGTCTGTAGCAGGCCTGATCTATTCTATCTATCCCTTTGACAACTACACGGCATCTTCAATTTGAGTGTGATATACTCTATTAATCGTTTATTTACCAAGCAAGCTACATCTCAGATCTCTTAATGCATAGACTTATTCAGTTTATGGGTCATAACTTCTATTTTTAAAAATTGCGAAATGATTCTCCGTAAGGCATATGTTCTCCCCCCCCCCCCACAAGGATGCTGTATAAACACTTTTGGTTGCATATGCTTCCTGGACAGACAGAAGATTGAAATGTCATTTCTACGTCACTTCTTACTCCTTATCTCATTTATACACATGAACTCGAAGCCGAGAAACTGGATTCCCAAAGGCACAGACGAATTATGCCGAACGTTACCTTTTATTTCATTATTGTATATAATGAATTCACAACACAGCGTAGTACCACAAAATTTACCAAAAACAGTAGTAATAAGAGTTGGAATGAAAAGTTCGAATCAAAGATATCGGATACATCAAGTCAGTCGAAGTAATTACCCTCTGCTACACGCTACATGGGCCTCTCTAATAGACAATCAAAAAAGCATCCCATGAAGTCAAACGCTTAGTAAATTCATATTTTTTCTAAACTGATCGATTGATCGGTTGGGAGTTTCCAAAATGCTCAATGCAACTTAGTGTGGTCAAGCTACATATAACGATGGGCCACCCAACACCCAACCTTGTGAATAAATAACCCACTATCACCTTCGAATATCATACGTCAAGGTGAAATTTGAAATAGATTTCCGTTCGCGAAACGAAAGAAAAGCAATCGACTTTCATATCTGCCTGAAGTTGATTTCTACGTTCTTGAACGACGGCAAGGATTCCATATTTGAAGACTTGTGGTCTGTTGTGTGCATACGGACTAGCACGATTTCAGGGTTCTCGTATGTTCACGTACTGTTGTATTTTCCGGCCGTGGTACTTGACTGAAAGTTTTCAGTTTCTTAGAACAGAAAGATAAACTGCCAGAATTTTTGTACGCTAACGGACTCGCAAATAGTGTGCTTTATAAGCTACGATCAACTCGCATTACGTAAATAATTTCTAGAAGTTGTTGATATGGATTCTACTCACAAGACCAACAAAAAGACATGAGAATTCTGTCTACCGACATGTTTCATTAAAGATGGAGAATGTCGATGTACTTACTGTTAGATATGTCTACAACCAACCAACCAAATCGTTGCTTAAACGATTATCATGCCAACTGGCCTGATTTGTCTGTAGACTATCCCTGATACATGTGATCTACCAGTTGGAAGACATTATTATCCTGTCATATTAGTGTGACTGTGACTCATATCTTCTATTTATTCTGATAAGGCACACAATACTGGTTTGTATGTTGTAAGATCCAAACTACGGTTTGGAGTGAAGGACAGCTGTCTGGATGAGTTAGATACGCGCCCTCGCCCGATTGAAACCAAAACAAAGTAATTGGGTAAGATGACGGTTCTATAATTTATCATAAATTTAAGCGTGCATTATTACCTAAACAAATATAACCACTCAGCTATCCAACCAATAATTGTTCAATTGATCAAATCTAAACTACAATAAATAAGAAAGTTGATAAAGCATGCAAGAAAATTACCAATCACCGCAAATAACTGTTAATCTATCCTGTCTGGATAGATCACGTACAGATTCGTTCAAAAGGTAATAATTGGTCGCTCTATAACACAGAGTGTTTTCAATTCTGGAAGAGTGCTTCAATTCACAACCAAAATGCACAATTCCAGTCAACACAGGTCAAGCAATCAAAAGCAAGGATAAACCAAAATGGCTGCCGCCCAGACTTAGTATAAAGTAAAACAACATAAGTGCAGTTCGGGAAGAAACATGCGGAATTAGTGAAGGTGTAGTAAAAACGAAAACTATAATAAAATACAAATATTAACAATTCAAATGTAGCCAAAAGGTTAACAATGTACAACTAAGAGGATCAATAGGAACAAAGTGCAAGTATATACATGGAGGGATTTTCACAAACACACAAAGCATTCAAAATGGATCTTACAATTTTGTGCGCTTCGCTTTTTGACTAATATTCTTTCAGTTAGTGTATCAATAGAACTGTCTTTCTGCTATTGCCTTTGAAAACAGATAACTCTTAAAGCCAAGTTATCTTCGTTCTGACTGTAGCTTTCACATAGATTCTGTGTTTTCAGTATAGCGCTTACACTTCCCGTAGAATATCGGTAGAACAAATTAAATTACACAAATTTTTGATCAGTAACTCTCCAGAAATTCATACGTCGAGTTTTGTTAAGTGTTTACGGTGAATCGTAAAACTGACCAGATTCCTGAATTGTCTTCCCACTATGCAGAAACTCGTACTGATGACCAGTTTGAAGCAAACAGCTACCGAGCGGATCCGCTGTTATAGTTAAAATTAGTTAAAGCACGCTAAGCTCAGACAGAAAGAGAAATTGAGTTGAAAAAGTCACGATTAAAACGAAGAGAACATTGTAGTGAAGTTGCGGCTGACAAGATGGTGTCGTGTGAGTCTACATCTGTCTCACATACAGTCGGTCTTCCTCATGAGAAGGACTCGATAGCAATTATATCTAAAGCTTTGGACCTACCGAAAAGTTAGATCATAAGGTTTGGTGATAATTCTATGGATTATTATAGTTTCATCCAAAATTTCGAAGGCTGTTTCGGTGAATGTATAAGAAGTCGATCTATGTTGAACTATTGTGATGGTGAAGCCAAGGCTATTATTGTTCATTGTGCATTTCTCGAACCAGAAGAAGGCTATGGTAAGGTGTTAGATCTTCTCGAGGAATCATTCGGTCAGAAGAACATCACAACCCATGAATTTATTGATATGATGCTAAAAATCTCTAGTATTAAGGGGACTACTCCATATAATTTCAGGAGACTATCTCGTGAAATTCAGATTTTCGAGCTAACGCTCAAACAGACGAGCGATGTATCCGATCTGTATTTTACAAAGACTGTCGTGAATAACCGCGTTTCACGAACATTTCCATTATAATTCTTAACAGTATTGACAAAAATGAAAGGTTATTGTCACTGTCTGATAGTGCTAACTGAATAAGAATTCCGAAAAGCTTTTCTAAACTACATCTTTTCCATACCAGATAACCAGCTTTAGTTGAGTTTGTTAATGTACTTTGCAGAAAAATACTCTTGAAAATGAATGATGTTAAAAAATCTTGCAAGTTAAAACATGCTCAAATCCAACCTTAGTGCATAGTTTATCACTTTTAAATGATTAGAAAATATCCACATAAGCTGGCGTGACAAATAACATTTGATGTTTGTTAAGTTGCCAAAGGCGATACTGAACATACGTCAGTGGGAACTCGTATAACAATGACAATAAAATTATTCCATATTTGATTGGTTTGAAAGAAAAGATTAAAGCTGATATAAGAATATCATAAACGGAGCATTTTAAAATAGACTATAATTACTTACCATAATATGATAACAGAGAGTATTTGAATTATTGTGCTAGTTAGGAATTCCCTACGTAACGTAATTTGAGGTAGGTAGAACTGGGTAAGCACAAACAAATTCATTGTATTTGGGATACGTAATCAGCGCGCAATCAAGTAAAAAGGTATTGTTAGTTCGCACAAATACCACACATAACATATGAGCTGACACTATTTGAAAATATGGCGAATTTCCATCATTGAGATGAGAAATATTG